AGCTCAAGTACGACACGCTGAGCGCCACTGAGAAGAAGAACATGGGCGCCGCCATGAAGACCGAGTGTTCCATGTGGGCGGAGTTCGGCGCCTACAAGAAGCTCCCGCTCAAGGAGCTGAAGGAACTCCTGCGGCGCAGCGCTGGCATCCGCCCTGCGGGCGCACGCCGGGCGCTGACCAGTAAGGGCAAGAACGTCACGAAGGCACGCCTGGTCGTTGCCGGGAGGGCAAGTCGCAGATCAGGACGGGCGCGCCTACAGGGCCCAGGGACGCGCTGTACCTGACCCTGGCCGCCGCAGCCCAGAAAGACCGGGACGTCTCGTCCTGCGACGCGATGACGGCCTACCTGCGGTCAGGTAACATCGAGAGGCGACTGCTCCTGCGCATGTCGGCCAAGAACCCGCCGCCGGGGGCCCAGCCGGGCGAGATCGCGACGGCCACCGGCGCGATCTACGGGGCGCGCGACGCCGGGAGGCAGCGGCACCTCTACGCGCAGAAGGTCTTCGCCGAGCACGGCCTCGTGGAGAGCACGCTCGAGAAGGGCCTCTACTACTTCTGCGACGAAGGTGGGCTCGCCGCCGCGGTCCGCTCGCACGTGGGCGACTTCCTTGTCGCCCCGCGCAACAACTCCACGAGTGGTAGACCACTATCGCGTCGCTGGGGAAGAGGCTGCACCTCAAGCCACTCGAAGGGGTCATCAAGTACTGCGGACGTACGATTACCAAGCTCGACGACGAGTTCCGCGTGACCCAGGTCACCGCTGCCGCGCAGGTGGACTACGTCGACTTGAAGGCCCAAAAGGGCCGAGGTGCGGAGGACCAGCTCACCGCCACCGAGGTGACGAGCTACCGCCACACGCTCGGGCAGCTGTCGTGGCTTGCAGCGCAGACTCGGCTGGACATCGCCTGCCCGGTGAGTTTCGCAACTCGACGCGCCAACGTCGCTACCGTGGCCGACGCCAAGACGCTCAACAATACCGTTGCCTATGCGCACTGCACCGCGAACTTCGCGATTGTGCTCAAGCGCAAGCTCGTCGACTTGAAGACGGCCATCACCGCGTGCTTCAGCGACGCCGCGTTCGCCAACGTGGACAGCGCCAAGAGCCAGTGGGGCATGGTGATGGGGCTCACTTATCGCCCGCGTGACGTTGTCGGCGGCCGTTAAGACCTGTGCCTGCCCGTCGCCTGGCACTCTGGCACAGTCAAAAGGTCGCCCCCGCTGCCGAGGGCCACGCTACCCTCGAGGGATCGGAGACCAACATGTGGTTCCGACAACTGCTATGGCCTACAAACCCAAGACGGCGCTCAAGCAGATCGACGTGCTCGCCGACAAGCGCCCTGGGGAGATCTACAGCGACAGCACGTGTCTCGTGACGCACGTCGTTTCAGATGTGGGCCAATCTACCGACAAGCGGTTCCGCATCGTCGCTTCCATGATCAAGGAGGCCGTGCACCCTAACAGTGCGCTCGAGCTCAGCTGGATCCCGACCTGGGCCATGGTCGCGGACGCTTTGACGAAGACGATGGAGGCGGGCGTCCTGCTGTCGTTCTTCGAAGTTCGCAAATACACCTATGGGTCCCGGCAGCCACACGCTGCTTCACCTGTCTCGGTAAGGTCAAGGGACAGCCGACGCCTACGCCGACAATGCCGGACTATAGCTTGTATGTTTGCCTGCTGACATTCACGCTGGTCCTCGGCATGACGATCGGTGCCGGTATTGTTCTGATGTTCTGGATAATTTTGAGGCAGAATAATGTGATCGTTAACGGGGAGAGTGCCGCCGAGGCGAAGGCCCTGGGCGAACACCCTGGCTGGGACGGCCACGTGCCCGGCCGACGCCGCAACATACCACCTACGATTCCAGAGGATCGAGAATCGAGATCACGATGGTGACATCACGATGTCCCGCGCGGACGTTTTCAGCAGCGCACAGGCATCGAGTTCAGTAGCATCGGCTACGGTTCAGCAGCCGCCGCCGCCGCAGATACCGACAGAACCACCACCTGCCATCGCACCGCCACCGCCATCACAACATGCCACATCATCAGCATGGGGATCTGGGCGATCAAGATCAGCCAAGTCGCAAAAGAGTTCGGCCCCCGCATCACCAACCGTTGTTTCCGTGACGCGTTCATCGAGTTCCGTGTCAGCCTCATCAGCCAGTGTTGTATCATGGAGCGGCTCCTCACCGACGGTACAGCCGGATGACATGCTCAGCTGTGTGACAGGCAGTCCCAATCATGATGTGGTCATCGGCCACAACCCGCATAGAGTATACATCTCTTGCAAAACCTGCAAGCAGCACGCTTCGTGGCTGCTTCGGCATGCTCATTTCGGAAATCCCGATGTCACGATTGTCCCAGAAAGTGTGATGAACGATCTCAAGGGTCGATGGTGGAAGCTCACAGGCAGAGACGTTTGACGAAGATCCGACCTGACGGACAAACCGGCGAAGCCAAAGAAAGAAAAATGAACCCCGCTCGGTTTTCGGACGGCAGGTTGGCCGAACGGACCGGCAATGTTCTACCGCTTAGATATTACGCCTGGTAAAGAGTTATGTATTCCGCATTGTTGCTCACTTACGCCCGGTAATGATTTATGTATTCCGCACGACCGCTCAGATTTCATGCCCGGCCAAAGATCCACACGTAACCTCTCGTTTTTTTGAGAAGATTAATTCGTCTCAGTGCGCACAGCTTTTAGACGCGATGACGATCACACCCGTTCAGTCTTATCTTGATAAGATGGCTATGTCTTTGGGGTTCTGTCGCTTCGCGATCGAACTCTTGCCATCGCTTGTATGCCGTGCAAGCCGTTTGCTTGCTATAGAGTATCTCGATAATCATCTCCCGGCGAGTGACTTGTTATAGTCCCCGCTCAGGCGCCCGACAGAGGGTCTGCGCCGACGGCGACTAGGACGAGTGTGAATCAAGCTCACTCCCCAGGAATGTAAGAGGCCCGAGAGGGGTTCCCCAGAAGCCTCGAGGGGCCTGTGGTTTCATTCATTGCTCGCCGCTGCCATTTTTATTTCGAACTAGGGCCCTGGGCCTTAGAGCTACGCCCCTCGCGAGGCCGCGAGTAAGAAGATCCATCGACTATCTTCCATATCACACTTTGGACCTGCACGCATGGCCTATGGCATCCGAGACGGCACCAGGGCAAAGAGCAGAACAACCGTCCCCACACATAGTGAGCACCCCGACAGGCCAGGCCGTTGAGCAAACGCACCCGAGGCAGGAAGCGAACGGGGCAGGGCTGTTTGGTAAACGGCGAGGGTTTTCCTCCGTTGAAATAAGTACTCTGAGAGCCGAAGCGGTAATTGTACACGTCCACCTGCTTCCCCCTCCCCCCCTCATCAGATCGATTTCCTCCTCAAGGTCGATCCAGCCGTGGCGACGAGAAGCCGTCATGAGGCCCTCAAAGGACGATCAGCTGCAGGGAGGGCCGCCGTTGTCCCCAACCATCCGACGTCCTGATCTTCTCAAGACGTGGTTCCTTGAAGTCGCGTTTCATCCCGACTCGGGGATCTACTGACCCGGGTCAATCTAGACCCAGGTCAGTCAGGCGTTGCAGGATCCTACAGGATACTGCAGGATCCTTCAGGATCTTGCACTCAAGCCCAGGTCAGTGCGCCCCTGGCCCTGCAGGATCCTGCAAGATCCGACACTCTGACAGACACCCGTTTGCACTGACCCCCGTCCCTGGAGCCCGGCCGGCTCGCTTTTTTGTTACGCCCCCCGGGTCCGCCGTGGGCCCCAGAGGCCGAAAACCTGCGACTAGCCATCGCTCGGACGCCCATTCGCCGTGCCTTGTCCGGCTTCGTGCGTGTATTCTGTTCGCAAGATGGCTCAAGATGCTCCTCGGTGGTCCGAGATGCTTCTCGATGGTTCGAGATGCTCCTCGATGGTCCCCATCCGAGCGATGCCAGGGCGAGGCTGGGCACCCCCGTCGTGCTTTTGCCTCACGGCGGGAGCATTGTCTGGCCTCGGCTGGCCCGCCTCCCTCGGCGACTCCAAAGTGGAGGGATCGTTGTCGTTGATCGTTGTCATCGTTGTTATCGTTATCGTTGTTAACGTTGTCGTTGTTAGCGTGGTGATCGTTGCGATTGCTACGATCGTTGTGATCGTATCGTGGTAATCGTTGTGATCGTTATCTTTGGGCAGGCAACCCGCACCCTCTGGGGGCGGGCGAAGAGACCTCGACATATCTGCCCGACACACCCCACATTTGGAAGCCCGAGTGGGGTACGGACAGGATGGGTAGAATGCCCAACAACAAATGTTGTCCAACATCGTCACTGGCCGCAGTTGGGCAGGCGGCGTTTAGACTTCAATGAACAACGTCCGCGGCGGCGCAGACAGCGAGCCCTGTTCAATATGAGCAAGAAGTGTTGTTGTTCATAGTGCCGCATTTTTCCGTACTCATTTCGACTGTCCCGACCAGAGAGAGGCCCGACAAGGGCAACGTGGGCCCCCCCAAGCCCCAACGACGCACATCGCAAACCACACCCTGGCGTAACCACACCCGCCCTCTTTCGGCGGCGAGCAAAGCGGGGAAATGAAAAGGGGCGGACCCTTTCAGAAGGCTCGGATGTCCCGTGGCCTTCTGGGACGTCTCCTGAGCCTTCCGGGAAGACACGAAACACCTCTCAGAAGGCGCAAGGGTTTCTGAGTCCCGCGGCCTTCTGGGAAAACCTTTTCCTTCAAATTTCCCCTCCTGGGCGCGCCGCCGAATGTTGGTCAAAATCGGTCCCCAAACCCCTCCTAGGGTCCATCCGACGCGGTTTTTCATCCCAGAACGAATTTCGGTGGTCCCGGGGCCCGAAAACGTCCCCCCGAGGCCGAAAACGATGAACAACTGCGTCGAACCTCGAGCACCGAAATTCCCCCCTCGCTCGCCGTTGATCCGACCTCCTTCTGCGGAAGTCACCCCCTCTGGCCCGCTCGGACCTGGGACCGATCGGACCGAGGGCCAGGGGCCTCCACGGGTAAGCCCAGCACACCGCAAGACGTTGGGCTCCCCGCGGTGGTTGTAGACGCTGCCGTGCCCCAGGGCGACCCTGGAGGCGTTCGGGTGGGAGCCGGGCAGCTCGTAGTCCTGCAAGCGGCGGGCGAGTCAGTTTCGCTCTGGGCCGTGGGGCCAAGTTAAATCGATCCGGCTCGAGAACATTCTGCATGAAGATGGGGTTCACGGCCCGGGTCGAGTTGTTACAACCAACCCGTAGAATAAGGGTGCGCGGTGAACGTGCAAGGGCCTTCGAAGGCCATACCGACATTTTGCGAACGGGGCGCGGCCAGCGAAAACAGCAAAGGACGGGCTGATGGGGGAAGTATGCAAAGGGCAACCTTGGGAGCTCGGTCGTCCTTACTTTGCGGGTTGACTGCATCGATGCTGGATGTTCTTCGCACCGTCGGATCTCAGGCTCTGGCGTCTTGAACAACACAAAGCGCGAGGTGGTTCTTGGAGGTCATCCAGCCTCGAGGGTGCTCTTCGGCAGGCGCGCTTTGCCGAGGGCGAAATTATCGGGGGTATCCCACATCTTTCCAGGAAGGGCTGCCCGAGGCCCGTTTTTTTGCCCGTAGTTCGCTCGAGGGTCGCAGTGCGCGCGAAGCGGCGATCTGATTGTTCTACCGATTTGGCCCGACCTGGCTACAACGCGATATCGCAGTTCGTCTTTCACCACATCGCTAGAACTCCTGAATATGCTGAGGCTGCCGATCCTCTCCCCGCGGCGCTCCTCCTCGGCTACCCCAGTCCGCTCCACTCTTTGTGGTGGAGGGCTATCCGGGAAAAACGCTGCACGGCGACCTTTGCAGCCTCCAAGAAGGCGAAAACGGCAACGATTGCCACCGTGGATCCAAAACAATGTGTGATTGCAACGTGGATAGCTGGCGTCGATCCATCAGCCAACAGCAACGACGGGGGAGGCCCCGAGGGGCACATGGGCGAGCAGGGGGCCACGCAAAGCAGCGAGAGGCGATCGGCGCACGCCCCAGCTCCCGCAAGCGGGTGCAGGGCGCGCACCGTTCACCAACCCACCGCAAGGAATGGCCCCCCGAGGGGAGGAGGAGACGCCGGCGGCGGAGGAGGAGCGGGAAAGGCGAGAGGAGCGGAAGAGACGAACGACTAACAACGACGACGAACGACGAAGACGACGTCGCTAAAACTCCAACGCTGAATTGCGCGCGTGGGTCCGCAATACACACCCTACCAGACCTCGCCGTGATGCACCGCGATGCGCTGCCTCATCCGCCCAGAAAGGGTCGACGCCATCAGCGTCCGATATTGCTCCCGATTTTGCGTCCGATTTTGCGTCCGATTTTGCGTTCGACTTGCGTCCGATTTGCATCCGATTTGCGTCCGATGTGTGTCAGATTTAAAATCCGATTTGCGTCAGACTTATTTTAATATTGAGTCGACACACCAAAAATCGGACGCGAAATCGGACGCGAAATCGGTCGCTTCTGGGCGCACATCCGGGCGCTCCTTCGGGCGCTATTCCAGATTCGCGCCTGGGCCATATTCTGGGCACTCTTGATGGCGTTTTCCTGGGCGCTGTTCTCGGCACTCTTCTGGGCTCGCCCGGGCGCTCGCCCCAGCGCGCTCCCAGGCGCTCTTCCGGGCGTTGTTCTGGTCGCCCCCAGCGCGCCTTCTGGACGCCAGGCGAACGCCCAATCAGCAATGTGAAAACCCAAAAACCAACAAAGTCAAAAGCAAATGTGCTCTGCCACCGCGGCGAGGTTATCCTGGCACCTCCCCAGGGGCCTGCGGACAAACGTCCCTGACCCAAGCCGAGTTGCGAAACCGACCCGGCAAGCGGTCAGCGGACAGGCGCTGTCCGGCGCACGTGGCCTAAATTCGGGCAGCCGGCTCGGGGATCGCGCTGCGTCGCCATGTCTGGGCATCCGACACAGAGGAGGCTGGCCCACGCGGAAAAGGGGTCGACACAGCTCGCGGGCACGCGCCTGGGGCAACAAAAACACGTCTGAGGCCTCTGGCGTCGCAGCCTGTTTGGCAAGGAGAAGAAAACGATAAAGGGAGGAGGAAGAAACGGAGGAGGAGGAGAAAACCTACCAGCCAGAACTGGGAGAGCTAACCTGAGGAAACAAAGCAGGACCCCTCCTCCCCCTCCTCCTCCTCCCCCTCCTCCTCCTCCTCCTCCTCCTCCTCCTCCTCCTCCTCCTCCTCCTCCTCCTCCGCGCGCGCGCCTCCGCAGCTGTCCTGGCTCCCCCGCGTGGGAGCAGCCGATGATGAGCCTCAGGTGGGCCCATCGGGCCAGGCTTTGAGGCCTGGCGGAAGCTTACCTTGGGTAAGCTTCTGGAGAGCCTTAGTGCCCCCTTCTGTGGGGGGTAGGCAGGGCCCCCTGAATTTCTTGGCCCCCCGAGTGGTCCAGGCTCCACATCGGGAGCACCACGCAGCATCATTCAACTGCTTGATGAAAGGTCCGTGGGACGGGTGAAAACGGTTTTGCGGCCCAGGGGGAACGCAGGGGGTCTTGAGCCACCTGGGGAACCCCTTAATTACGCTACCTTGCTTGCCACAAATCCTACAGGCGATCTGGAAGTGTGGAGGGACGGGGGCACAGAGGAGGGTATGGGGCGTCCTACTCAGCTCAACCTGCAGGGCTGCGACGCTACGCTCTACCTTCACTTTCCTACGGTGCTCCTTGACATCCTCCTACTCCTCATCTAAGCCCAAGGAGTCTTTGTGGCCCCAATAATAACTCTGAGCTGCTGCCAGTCTATCTCTGATGAGGTCTGCGTGAACATCAGTGCCTTCAAGGTGCCGAGCGAGGGAGTCTGGAACTTTACGCCATTGGGCTGCTTCAGAAGCGAGTTTATATGCATGGTCATTGAGGTGTAAGGCCCAGAGGGGTTCGCGAGCGGCTTCTTCTTCCGTGGGATGGCTTTTCACTTTGTAGAAGATCATATCATCTTGTCGGTTTTCGGCCAGGGCCCAAAACTTGTTCCAAGTGTACGGGTTCTTGGGGTGGCGGAAACGTGGGCCTCTGTTGGACCCCTTGATCACATAGGAACAATCTATCACAATGTGAGGCGGCCGCGGATGGACTGCAGGAGTACAATGACTGTCTCGAGTTCCGCCAGCGGCGCGGTCTGCGGGCCGATGACCCCTCCCTGGATGGTTCCTTTCCAAGCGAGGTCATGTGCCCACAAAGATACGTTCCAACCACAGACTCTGATGCGCGGGTCCTTCGTGTGAGGTCCACCACTGCCGTCTGTAGCTGCCACCTGCCAGCCATCAAACTGGTAAGCTGCATGCTGTTCAAACACTCATTTTTCGAACCGTGTCCTGAATAAGTCCCAAGGAGTGCCCATGAACTTGACGGAGGAACGTGGCAGGGATGATCCCTCGGAGCCAGAGACTTGGGTTCGTTGGGGTTTCAGCCACTGCGCGGCCTATGGGGGCCTGGGTCCGAGTGATAGTGGGGATGTTGAGACCCTCCAATTCAGGACACGTCCAATATCTATGTAAATCATCTCCGCGCGCTTGACCGCAGAGAGGACACTCGGCGTCGTCCTGCTGGCCACTTTCAAACCTGCGGCGGGCGCTCCAGCACCTCGAGCAAGAGACTGCCTCTAAAGCTGCTGGAAATTTTGCTTCTCGCTGGAGTTCCTCCTGGGCCTGGACTTGTTGGGCTTGGGGAGGGGGGTTCTCGGCTAGGTGCTTCTCGCGCTTCTTGATAGCTGCTCGCTTTCTGGCAGGGTAGAGCCGAACAGAGTGCACGTCCCGCCCCCTCCTGGAGGCCTCCGGAGTTGTGGCTGAGGGGGTAGGTCGCTTTCCAGACATGCATGTTCCAGAGGAACCCCAAGTGAAACATGAAAACCTTCTGCTGGTCCCAACTCAGAGGCTTGACGGGGAACTCTAGGCCTTCGGGGTCCCTCCAGAGCCACGCCGAGATCGGGGTCCAGCCTATGTCGTACAGGGTGGCGATGACCGCGGACAGGTGGGACCTAACCATGAGCCACCTTGATGGTCTCTTGAGTGTCCCCTTCAGGATCTCCCAAGACTTCTGGATGCCTCCGAGGATGCCAAGTTCGGTGTTGATCACCCGAAACCACATCGTAAAAAGCTGAACCCGAAGATCGATCCCTGGATACATGTCAGATGGGTGTCCTGGGCGGGTGTGGAGGCCAGTGGTGAGGCAGGCCCCTGATTTGGATACTGCAAGTGCCGCGCCAGCCAACCGGCGAAAATACTAGACTTCGGTCGGCGCCGATCCGTGTCCCTCCATGCCCCACGTCAGCTGCGGTAGGGCGCCTGTGCGGAAAAGGGACCGCGCCTTAGTTGTAGTCTTGGCCAAGCTCTTGATATTCTTGTGCCGTGCCGCAGCGCTCCGAGATGACGACGGGTACGGCGGACTCCCAGGACCCTTTTCTTCCTCCTCCTCCTCCTCCTCCTCCTCCTCCTCCTATTGCTCCTATTGCTCCTATTGCTCCGATTGCTCCTCCTCCTCCTCCTCCTCCCTCCTCCTCGTCCTCCTCCTCCTCAGGGTGCCAGGGAAACGCTTCTGGGTGCAGGATGCGTTATCGTTTCACCGGATGGGGGGGAACCGTAATTGCTTCCTCGGTTTCTGTTCCTTACCTCCATAGGGGGCGCCCGTCATACCGACGATCTCTCAAAGAGAGCCTGGAAGCTGGTGGGGCCCCCAAGGAGTTCAGGACCGCAACTCCCCCGGTCAGGGCACCTTGGGACCCATCGAGCAGGACGTTTCACTCTGATGGGCGGATCGGAAGGGCGGACCCTAATGGGCAAGCGGGTCGGGTTGGGTTCATCGGGCGGGCCCTCACGGGCAGGCGGGTCGGGCCAGGTGGACCAGAACGGGCGGGCGGGTCGGGCGGACATCGCGGGCGGGACACTAAGGAATGGGATCCATGGACCAGGGCGTTGAACCCTAACAGGCGGCCAGGTGGGAAGACCCTAAGAAGGGGCGGGCGGATCGAATCGTGCGGATCGGGCGGGTGGGAGTCCGCTGTTCCGAATAAGATGCAATGAGAAGGCCCAGGCACGCTGCGGAACGCTCCCCGTGTCGGAAGACCACCATGTTGCGGAAGGCCTGGTCAAGCAAGCCCAGGCACTGCCGGCAGTGCGGAACGCTCCCTACAGCCTACAGGTTGGGGAACCACCATGTTGCGGAAGGCCCAGTCAGGCAAGCCCCGGCAATGGCTGCAATCGAAGTCCAGATGCGGTAAGCCCATGCACTGGCGGAAGTGCGGAACGCTCCAAAATGGGAAACCACCATGTTGCGGAAAGCCTGATCAGACACCAGCAGCGCTGCAGAACGCCCCCCCGGGTTGGGGAGCCACCGAGTTGCGGTAGGCCCGTCCAATTTGGGAGGGTCCTGGTCAATCAGCTCCCCAGTCGGTAGGCCCGTCCAGTCGTGGCTGGTCTGAGCACATGGGGGGCAGGCCGGGGGACCCAACGGAGGCTTCCTCTGGGGACCCAGGCCTCAAGGCGGGCGGACGTGGGGCGGGGCAGAGGGCCAGGTGGGCGGAGAAAAGAACCTCGACCTCACGCCGCGGCTTCCGCGGGCGGCCAGCGTGGCGTGCCGAGCAGCGACGACGACGCGTGCGCGCAGCCTTACGCGGGCAGCCTGCGCGCGAATGTCCGCGCAGCCGGCCTCGTTCCGTCGAGCGCTCGGGTGCCGCGCGGGGTGGGAGGCCTCCTCGGCGGGCCTCTCGCTCGACGGCGCGGCTGCGGTGCGCTCGACCGCGGGGCCCGTGCTCCCCGTCGGCCTCTGGCGGTCGCCCCGGCGGTCGTCGGCGGTCACTCGCGGTCTTCGGCAGGCTCCAGCCGTCCTCGGCGGACCTGCAATGGGAGGCACAACCACATCCTAGTACTCTATGTCCTCCTTGGAGGCGCGCGTCCGACCCGAACATATCGTATACCCATCTTGTAGTATATCGTTTCCCGAGCGGTGTGGCCAGAACGCGCCCGCCGCGACGCATATGCTATCAGATGTCTCGGTGCGCGCGTCGCCCGCGGGGGGGGGCGACGGACATATAGTATAAGTATGTTGAGATGAAGCCGATGCAAGGGCGCGCTTGAACAAGGGGGCCCACGATCACTCAGAGAAGCTGATCTCATGGAAACGCACCAGGCCAGAAAACGGAACATGACATTGCCTGGGTGCCCCAGGCCATCTCGCGTGAGGGGTCATCTGCGCCACGGCGAGATGGGCACCCCTGGCAGCCCGCCTAATGGTGCGGGCGTCGGAGCAAGGGGGTCGACGGTCAAGATCAGACCCTGCACACCAGCCGAGGCGCCCGTCCAAATCGGCTCAGAGCTCCAGAGCGGCATACTCTCGCGCGGAAGGCCTCGACCAGAGTCCGCTTCCCGATCCCCCCCCCGAGACGCGGCCCCGAAGCACCTCGAGACGCGCCAGGGCCCCAGGATACCCCGCGAAGGCCCGAGGAGGCCCCAAAATTCAGCAGGAGACCACAAGAAACCTTGCACAAGAAACCCAATCCTCAGACCCCAGGACGTCCATTGCTTTGTGTTGGGAACGTAACGCTGTCCATAGCAGAACCATCGAAACCCAAGACACCCAGGGCACCCTGGAGGCAAGCAGGGTGTTTCTTGGCATGGGCCTCTACTGTACAGAGCGGCGGGCTAGCGCAAAGGGGTCTTCTGCCACGCCGCCAGGCCGCAGGCCACGGGGCCCAGACCGTCGTCGTCGTCGTCGTCGCCGCGAGGATCCGAGGGGTGTGAAGGGCGCACCCCGTCCATGGGAGGTCCCGTCCTCTCGGAGAGGACCGGATTGTGACCACCACCACGACGCCCAGAGAGCGGAATTGGGGCGTCTCACGAGACGCGCGGCAGCTGCCCTCTGGGTCTGCGCGCTGTGTAGAAAGGATGGCAAGGGGATGCTCGGAGTTGCAGGGTTGACCGCGAACATCGAGCTGCCCGAAGGCGAAGTTCTGGCTCCAGGTAGCGAGTGCCGCCTGCACTGGAGTGCCCGAGGGGAGCAGAAGGCAGAGAAACAGAGGAGGTAGCAGGAAAGAAGGAAGAGGTCAGGAGGGTGAATATAAGATAGAGGGAGGGAGGTGATGGGGGAGTGAGGAAGATAGAAAGGGAGGAAGGCAGGAAGGTACCAAAGGGTGGGGGGGGGCGGAGGGGCATGGGTGGAAGGAAAGGGACGGGGAAGGGGAGTGATGTGGGGAGGATGGAGGGAGAGGAGGAGACAAGTGGATGCCTGGATGTAAGTGGGGAGGGGGACGGAGGGAAACGGGCCCGGCGGACCCGGGGTCCCCCCGCGGGACCAGTCTTCCATCCTACAGGCAACTGTCCGACGGCCCTGCAGAAGGGGCCCAATGCTCCCCAGGGACGCCGAAGTCGGCGACTCTGAGCATCCTACCGATGGCCCCCAGAACGCATATTAGCGCCAACGTGTGCTTGGCTTGCCACCCAAGGCGCTTCAATGCGACGCAGGCGGGCGCAACGAGGGCCGACACAGGCTGCGCGCTGTCGGCGGAGCCAAATGGGGCAAACACACGCCTGGGGTGGATGCACGTCCTGAGGATCATCGATCCGTCCCTCGGGGACCTCCTGTCCTGCCTGATCCCCTCCCCCCACCACGCCGCGAGGTCCCGGAAGATCCGGCAGGCCTGGCCCAAGCACGATATCGTGAGCGACGGGACCACCTGCACAGGCGAGGGGGGGGCCCAGGGGGTAATTGCAATCGTAAACACGATGGTGGTTGCCGCGATGCTGGTGGCGACGATGACGATGGCAACGGCATGGCGAGTAACGGCACCAATGCTGATCACGCCAGTGATGATGATGATGATGATGATGATGATGATGATGATGTTGATGATGATGATGCTGCTGCTGATGCTGATGATGATGCTGATGCCGATGCTGATGCTGATGATGATGCTGCTGATAATGATGCTGATGCTGATGCTGATGCTGATGATGACGATGACGATGACGATGACGATGATGATGATGATGATGATGATGATGATGATGATGATGATGATGATGATGATGATGATGATGACGATGACGATGACGATGACGATGACGATGACGATGACGATGATGATGATGATGATGATGATGATGATGATGATGATGATGATGATGATGATGATGATGATAGTGGCGATGATGATGGTGATGGTGTCCACGCGTCGGTGATGTAGGTTTTGGAATAATCGGCATGCTCGCGTGGCCTTGGGAGGGGGCAGGCCTTCTCAGGAGGCTGCGGGGCTTCCCAGAAGCCCCCCGGGCCTTCTGTCAAGCCTCGGAGGCCCTCTCCGGAGCCACAGGCGGCTCCTCGGAAGGCGCCAGGCCTGCACAGAAGCCCCACCCCCTTTCTGGGAAGGCCCGTGCCCTCTCGCTTCCCCCCTGGGCTCGTCGCCGCCGAGACGGCTGGCATTTCGCCACCTCGGGCCTCTGGGTGTCCGTTTCGGGCCGCGGCACCCGTCCAGATACGGGAGGCCACGAGAGCACGGGGGCGGGAGGCCGTGGAGAGAGTGGACGGGGAGGAGAGCGACAAGGGGCTTGGAGGAGGGGGCAGGAGAAGTGAGGGAGGAAGCGACTCCTGGGAGGTCTCCGTCAGAACGGTTAAGAGCTGTCGAGCTCGACAAACAAATCATTAAGCCCAATCGGGCCAGATTAAATCTGGGATTAATAATCTGGATCCGGCGGGAGAGAGCAAGATTTAGCAGGAACTCTACCAAATTTGGCGAGATTCCGCCGTCTTCGGATCTACCAAATGCTTGGAGGACCGCGCGGATTTCTTGGATCCGCGACGGACCTCCCTCCCTGGCGCGCGGAGCGCGCCAGGGCCGGCGCCGGAGGCGCCGTCAGGTGTACCCAGCGCCGATCCAGGGAATCCGCGCGGAGCGTCGACAGTTTCTCTGTCTTCGAGGGAAGGACGGGGGGAATTTGGAACGCACATGAACATACTAAGGCTACATGTCCTTCTTGGAGGCGTGCGTTCGACCCGAGCATGCCCGCCACGGAGCCTGTGCTAGTTAAGACTTCTCGGTGCGCGCGTCGCCCGTAGCGTCGCCCCCAGGGGGGGCGACGCACACGTAGTCTTAAGTCGGGCGTGTCCCCCTACAGGGGGATTTTGGACGAAAAGTCAAACATATTCAAAGAAACTACCCCAAATAGTCAAACATCAAACATGGTAAAAAAATCGTTCCCATACTATTTTTGCACTATTTTGGGAATATTCCTCCTGTAGAGGGACAGGCCCGACTTCAACGTAGTCTTAATACGTTGGGGTGTCACCGAGAGAGAGGCGGGGAGCGACCGCCTACGGGGGAGGAACGCGCGCGGACGCTGGGCGGCGCCCCTCGCGCAGCGCTCTCCGCGGCGGCTCGCGCGGAGCTCCCCCCACAGAGGGTCTGCGCTTGGCAGCGTGAGATTTCCTGGCTTGGCTTGGCTGCGCTTGGCTTGCGACGGGAGGGGGCGTTCTGGATAAACATGAACCTACTCCTCCTCCTGGAGGAGGAGGGGTGGGTTCTAGAGTGCCATGAGCCTCCTCCGCCTCCTCCTCACCGAGCCTTCTCAATCTCCTCCTCCTCCTCCTCCTCCTCCTCCTCCTCCTCCTCCTCCCCGGGAGGAGGTCTCCAGAGCTCTGTGGAGAATCCTTGGGAGCCTGTTGGGCCATCTAGGGCCGTCGGGGGGGCCCGCCACCGAGAACCAATTTGGGGGGTGCGGAGGGGGGGGGGGGGGGGCTACCCCTGGGCGTCGGCAAGCCCGAGCGCCACCTGGGAATTGGAGTGGACAGAAGCACGAGGAGAAGCCCTGCTGCTTCGAGGACTGGCAGGACCGCCTCCAGCAAGACGCCCTCTGCAATCAAAGCTGCGGGGGGCACTCCACGGGTGCGCGCGGCACCGCACTCTGAGCGCTTCCGGTCGAGAGAGCTGATCGACTGAGAAGTATCGCAACAATTTCTGCCCGACACGCTGGCACAATGCCGAACGAAAATCGCCTGCCAAGGACCGACACGAAAAAAAACCCTCCCGCTCCAGTACATTCCTTGTGCTCCAAATTCTTTGTGGTGATCAAGGCTGAAAATAGACTGGAGCATCACAAGTCGACGTCCAAAAATTACGGATGGTCTCCAGCCAAACTCTCGTCGATTAGAGAAAGCGGCGGGGGACTGCACCAATACATCTTTGGGAATACGGAGTCCGAGCGGCCGAACGACCAGACTGACTCCCTATCAGACCACCCCAACCTAGCCCGAAAAACAAAATTTCGGGTTGGGGGGCGTACGGGTTCCATATGTGTTTTCTCAGAATGTTCCCCGACACCCCACCCCCTGGGACTGGAGGGCAAATTGAGCCCTTGGGGTTGGGTCGGGGTGGTTCTGTGGGTGGTGACAGGCAGAGCCGCCTGACAGTGACGACCCTCTGCCCCGGGGATGGCATTCAAACACTGGGCTGTCCTTGCAGGACCATGGGGCCACGAAACGGCGCCCAAGCGCCGAAAACGGCCAGCGAGAGGCCCATGGTGCGATTTGCTCTAGTCGCCGAGGAAGACTGCGTCCCCGACGGCGAGGAGGAAAACTAGCAGGAGGCCTCGGCGCCTCGGGTGAGCGGGAGGGGCGGAAACACCCGTGCGAGCGGCAAACCCGACATGAGTGAGCTGGTCGGAAGGCGCGTGGATGTGTTTCGCAGCTGAGGCCGTAGACGGAGCAGAACCGCACATCTAGATGAGCAAAGGACATCATACACATGATCACTCGGAGGTCCCAGGTATATTTGTGGCTCGGCGCTGGACCCCCAAACCCTGGCGCCCGGAGCGCGCCATTCGCGGCGCCGGAGGCGCCACCAGGGTGGGTCAACGCCGATCAGGGAAATCCACGCGGCTTCTCCAATGCTCCGGCAACTCACAATCGGACCCAGGACCCCTCCGCGGGTCCAAACGTACCAACGCAATTCCCCAGCTGCGTCCAGCTGTGGCGACGGAAAGGGCCCCCTGGAGGCCAACGACCGTTTTCTCAACCAGCCCTCCTCTTCCTCCTCCAGAACTCGCCGGGGGCGTACGAGGAGGGCTCCCGGACTACTGCTCCTCGACTGCAGGGTCGGTTAAACAGCCCGCCCTGCAGGCTCGGTCGCTAGGCAGGAGGAGGAGGAGGAGGAGGAGGAGGGGGAGGAGGAGGAGGAGGAGGAGGAGGAGGAGGAGGAGGAGGAGGAGGAGGAGGAGGGGGAGGAAGAGTGACGACCGTTGCCGCGATCCGCCCGCCTCCACGGTCTCGCCCTCCCGGAAGGGCCTCGTGGCGAACACCCCGTTGCCGTGGAGGGGCGACGAGGCCACCGCCACGCCGCTCGGCGGGTCTAGCCTGAAATCTCCTCTGGCGGAGGGCCGTGTGGACGAGCGCAGGGGCGATCACACGCAGACGCACGTACTCGGGCACGGGCACGTGCACGGAAGGGCCCAGTCCGCAATATCAGCGCACATACACACATAACAACAACAACAACAACAACAACAACAACAACAACAACAACAACAACAACAACAACAACAACAACAACAACAACAATTACTAGCACGTGGGGACACTCCGTTCTCACCAGTGCCAGGGTTTTCATAGGAGGCGGGCAATACCCCCACTTTGTGGGGGGGCCGGTTCAAGCTCTACCAAATTTCCAAACGACTCTTCGCCACCACCCACACCCAGCTTCCCGCCCTATGACGTTCGGACACTTCACTTCGTGGCATGCGGACGACCGTGGCTACTATTCAGGGCCCCGCGGCCGACGACGACGGCGTGCGCGCGCGAAGAAAAAACGAATGTGTCCCGCATGGTATTATTTGACAGGGATGATGGCCCTGGCAGGTGCGCAACCGTTGTTGCAGAAGTTCGAAAAAGTTGCTCGCAAAAGCCCGTTTGACAGAAATGATTAAAAAGTGTTGGGTTTCCTACGAATCCGCAAGAGCGCGCGGGATGAAATTTTGACATTTTTTTTTGAAAAACCATTGGTTTTTTGATGTTTTTATGTTAAAATCGCTACGACAACTAAGGTTTTGGAAGGATTTCGTCTTGCGCGCGCGAATGTCCACTTTACCTTATTTTTTGCAAGGGATTCTTGAAGTTTGGTTATGTTGAACAAGAAATGTCCACTTTTTTTTTTTTGCAAGGGAAAACCGATCGTAACAACACAACCGGATCCGGACCAACCCGTTTTGCCTGAGACTTCTTCACGAAAATGATGAAAATGAGGCTGCGGCCTAGGCGCGGCGGGGGGGTCGTGCACCAGGGGTCCCAACAATAATTATTCTTTAGAAGTAATAATGTTCAACAACAACAACAACAATAACAACAGCAGCAGCATCAGCAGCACAGCAACAACAACAACAACAACAACAGCAACAGCAACAGCAACAACAACAACAACAACAACAACAACAACAACACCACAACCACACCACCACAACAACAACAACAATTATTCACTGCGTGGAGCTCCCCATATGTGCATCTACTCGCATGGACCTGTCCGCCGTGAATGTCTAGGCGCAAGAGCTTCCGAATATTAACGGGCTTCAGTTGTGACGGTCTGGACATCAATCTAACTGCGAATGAATTGGAGTGTAAATGAGCCTCAGTAGTACAAGCGCGTCTCTGTGCATGAGCCTGGGGCCTCCTGGGGCCTCCTGAAACCTACTGGGGCTTCCTGGGGTCTCCAGGAGCCTCTTGGGATCTCCTGGGACCTCCTAGGAAGGTTTCGTGCCCAAGGAGAGGCGCAATCTATAGCAACAGACGTACATAAAACATTGCGGATTAGAGCCACTTTTTATGAGCATGAGCAGCCCGCGCAACGCGAGCCGATCCCGTTCGCCCCCTCCGCCGCTCCGCAGCGGCCGCGTCTCACTCCTGCGCGGCGTGCGCGACCAGGGCGCGCGCACGAGGGCGCCTCGCGGCGCCGCGCTGCCCCAGGAGCCCGATGGCGGAGGGGCCCCCTGGCGCCGGGCCAGCCCGTAGGGCCTAGGCGGGGCGCCAGCGGACGGCCTCCAGCATGCGCCGAGGGTCGTCGCTCGCCTCGGGGCGCCAATCGGCCGCCCTCCGCAGGACGCCGTCCGCCGCGGCGAACGCGTCCTCGAGGGCAGCCGCCGCCCCCGCCGCCGCGTCCGAGGCAGCAGCTCCGCCGCCAGGCTCCGCCGCCGCCACCTCCGCGTCCGCCTGCCCCTTCGCCCCCGGGTCCCTCGCGAGTGCCAGCACTGTGCCCGCGGCCGCGCCGGCCGCGCCAGCGCCCTCCGCGTCCACGACCCACCGGCCCCCGCGCCCAGGGGCGTGTTCGGGCCTCCGCCTGCGCCTGCGCCTCCGCGGCCAGGCAGGGGCGGCAGCTCCTCCCACTCCAGCGGGATCCGCCGCCGCCGCACCCGAAGCGGCCCGACGAACGTCGTCCGCCCACTCGTCACCGAGGTCGCCCATGTCGTCGTCGGCGGTGGCCGCCGCTGCAGCCGCAACAGCAGCTGCACCAGCGGCAGCTCCAGCGACCGCCCCAGCGGGCACCACCTCCACGACCATGTTGTTCTCCTCCTGGGCGGCCGCGCGCCGCGCAGCACGGCGCTGGCGGCGGCGGCGGCGCTTCGCGGCTCGCGCCGCAGGGTCAGCCCCAGCAGCGCCAGCTCGGTCAGGAGGATCCGGGCGAGCAGCACCAGCAGCAGCAGCGGGCGGCGGCGGCACGGCGCCCTCGGCCCCGCGGCCCACCCCGAAAAGGGTGGAGGCCTCCTGCTCCTGGGGCCTCTCGGGGCCTCCTGTTGCCTTCCGAGGCCTCCTGGCGTTTCCTGTTGCCTCCTGGGGCCTCCTGTGGTTTCCTGAGGCCTTCTGGAGCTTCCTGGGGCCTCCTGGAGCCTCTTGGGACATCCTGTGGCCTCTTGAGTTTTTCTGTGGCCTCCTGATGCCTCCTGGGACCTCATGTGGTCTCCTGGGGCCTCCTGGAGCCTGTTGGAGCCTCCTGTGGCATCCTGAGAAGAATCTGCGCCCACGAGCCTGGCCACCAAAACAAGCAAACCGATCGAGACATCCTCACAATCTGGCCCACCTTGGGGGTGAAAATGAACGCCTCGCTCGAGACATCCTCCAAATCTGTTCCGAAAGCGAAGGATGTTGAGCCCAGAAACAAGCAAACCGCCTGAGACATCCCCACAAAATGGCCGCGAACGAGCCCGTGCAACCACCCCTGGCGGCTCCCCTTAGGGCCACGAGCCTGGCCACGAAAACAAGCAAACCGATCGAGACATCCTCAAAATCTGGCCCACCTGGGGGGTGAAAATGAGCGCCTCGCTCGAGACATCCTCCAAATCTGCTCCGAAAGCGAAGGATGTTGGGCCCAGAAACAAGCAAACCGCCTGAGACATCCCCACAAAATGGCCGCGAACGAGCCCGTGCAACCACCCCTGGCGGCTCCCCTTAGGGCCACGAGCCTGGCCACCAAAACAAGCAAACCGATCGAGACATCCTCAAAATCTGGCCCACCTGGGGGGTGAACATGAGCGCCTCGCTCGAGACATCCTCCAAATCTGCTCCGAAAGCGAAGGATGTTGGGCCCAGAAACAAGCAAACCGCCTGAGACATCCCCACAAAATGGCCGCGAACGAGCCCGTGCAAACCACCCCTGGCGGCTCCCCTTAGGGGTGCTGAAACCAGCGCCCCGCCTGAGACATCCTCACAATCTGCTCTCCAAGCGAAGGATGTTGGGCCCAGAAACACGCAAACCGCCTGAAACATCCCCACACAATGGCCGCGAACGAGCCCGTGCAAACACTCCTGGCGGCTCCCCTTAGGGGTGCTGAAACCAGCGCTTCGCCTGAGACATCCTCACAATCTGCTCTCCAAGCGAAGTCTGAGTATAACTAATACTGTGTTTGAGTAAGTCTGGGTATGAATGAGTCTGTGTATGGGTACGTCTGGGTGTGAGTAAGTCTGTGTATGAGTAAGTCTGTGTATGAGTATGTCTGAGTGTGAGTAAGTCTGAGTATGAGTAGGTCTGAGTATGAGTAAGTCTGAGTATGAGTAAATCTGTGTATGAGCAAGTCTGAGTATGAGTAAGTCCAACAGGAGGGGAGGAGGAAAGAGGAGGAGGAAGGAGGAGAGGGAGTAGGAAGCGTCCAAGTAACAACAAGAACCCCATCTTAGGATATGGGGAACAAGTCTGAGTATGAGTAGGTCTGAGTATGAGGAAAGAGGTGGAGGGGAGGAGGAAAGAGGAGGAGGGAGAGGGAGTAGGAGGCGTCCAAGTAATAACAAGAACCCCATCTTAGGATATGGGGAACAACAACAACAATAACAACAACAACAACAACATCAGCAACAACAACAACACCAACAACAACAACAACCGCAACAACAGCAACAGTAACAACAACACCAACAACAACAACAACAGCTACAACAACAGCAGCAGCAACAACAACAGCAACAACAACAGCAACATGAACACCAACAACAACACCAACAACCAACAACAACAAACAACAAACAACAACAGCACCAACACCAACAGCAACACCAGCAACACCAACAACATCAACAACAACAACCAACACACAACAACAACAACACCAGCACCATCAGCAACAATGGCAGCAACAGCAGAACAACATCACCACCAACAACCAAAACCAACAACCAACAACCAACAACAACAACCACAACAACCACAACAACGACAACGACGACGACAACAACATACCATTCGGCGTCGCGGCCCCGCGCGCAGCGTCGAGGCGCAGAAAGTAGGCCAATGAGCGCACACACACACACACACACGCACGCGTTGGCGGTCGCGGCCTCGCGCGAAGCGACGAGGCGGAGAATGAAAGTCAGAGCGAACAAGCAAGGCCACACAAACACACGCACATACATACATACATACAATGTTTGCTTCGAGTTCTGCTGGTCCAACTCAGCGGGACGAATAGCGGGGCGCGCTAGGGGTGATTCAGTACACGCACGCACACACACGTTCAGTTGATTGGCGTCGCGGCCGAGCGCGCGGCGGCACGGCGTATGGCAAGTCAGGCAAGCACGCACACACACAGACACGGTTGGTGCTCAGCTTTCGCGGGCGGGTCAGGATAAATGGATCCGCCACCGTGCCGTGGGGCACGGAGTGCAGCGTCCATCATGTCCATGCGAGTCCTGCGGATTGGAGACTGCAAGTGCGCTGTATGGGCCCCAGGATGCCTGGAATTCCTGGACGTATCAAGTGCAAGTGCGCTGGATGCCTGGAATTCTTGGGCGCTCGATGCCGCTCATCTTTGCGTGGCTCGCGACTTTTCCCGACGCCTCGAGAGGTCGGAAAGGGGCGTCCCCACCCCCCCAGAGAAGCTGAAGAGAGGC